CTCCCTCCCCAGAGCTCTGTGAATATTTCATCCAGTAGATTTTACTGGTTGGTGTCCTCTTGTTTTTCCTTCACTGATTGTTCGTGGACGTCATCAGGACTCTTGAGGTTGGCAAGCTACTGAAACTCAACTCAAAATGACTTTAAAAAGTGTCACAGATTGAGGAGACCAAGGAAAAATTACTAAATGCAGTAGGATCCTGGGTAGGACACTGAAATGGAAGGAGGACCCTAGAGGAGAAACTGATGAAATTCAAAGAAGGTCTGTGGTTTAGTTAATAGTCAAGTACCAATGTTAACTTCTTGGTTTTGATAATTGTACTATGATCAAGTAAACCATATTAACATTAGAGAAAGCTGGGTAAGGGATATATAGGAATTCTGTATTATCATTGCAATTTTTCTCTAATTCTAAAATTGTTTAAAATAAAAAAGTAGGAAAACTCGACAAATTAATGCTGACCATTTAAACACAACAGTGTGTGTGGGGGAGTAAAACTTATTGGTCTACATAACTGAAAAGGGCAAGGGTATATGGGCTGCAGGCATAGCTGGATCCAGGTGGCATAATTCTTAGGAAATTTCCCCATCTCAACTGATTCTTCTTCTTCTGTGAAGCTTCATACTCAGGCAGCCCTATCTTTTGTGATGGCAAACAGCCCGTCAGACCTCCAGGTTGATTTTTGTCACCCAAGAGTATGACCTTCTCAATAGTCCTGTTTTCTTCCCTGCTAGGTCCCTAGCACCTAACTTGGTGTGTTGAATGAGTGGTTCCAGTAAAAGTTTGAGATCAACTCTCATTGGCTCAGACCAAGTCATGTGCCCATCTCCACAAACGAATCAGCGTGACCTCCCTTACCTCAGTTACATGTGTGGGGTCAGGCCCCCCAACACAAAGACTGAGGTGGAAGAAGGGCAGTAGTCTGAAAGGAAGCAATGGGTCCTGTCATCAGAAGAAGGGTTACAGGCAAAACTAGTATGTCCCCTGCATCCTCAGGGCTCGGGCTTTTGCTCCTGGAGTAGCAATTTTCAACCTTTTTCATCTCACAGCACACATAAACTCATTATTAAATTCCTGAGGTACACACAAAAATATATATTTTGCCGATCTGACAAAAATAAGTATAATTTTGAATAATTCACACCAGGCGGCTATTGTGTTGGCTGTTGTCATTTTTTAATTTAACAAACTGAGCAAAAAGAGGTCAGTGCCGCTAACTAAATAGTCAGGTACTGCATGTTTTAAGAATCCTTAAGGCACAGTGGAGGGAAATTGCTGCCCTAGAGCCACCCACAGCACAGACCTCCACTGAACATGAAGGCTCGAATTCTTGTGGGTGTCGGGTGTGCCAAGCCGTCCAACTGTAGTCCCGGGACAACCGTCATTAGTGGAGGACAAGAATAGGGCTCTTCTGTGGGACACTGGGCTTCTTGCAGCTGGATCAGATGGCAGTTGGTGTCAGGGAAGGGGACCAACATGGCTAAAGATGCCAGAATATCAGGATTCCTTCCGGGCCAGGACAATGGTCAGTTCCAGGGATGCGGCACTGCCAATCAATCCTTCCCAGCCCTAGCCATAAGCCTCTGTGTAAGGTCTCATTTGTCCATGTGAATTGGGGCAGCATGGAGAGGGACAGGACTGGCCTGGACATTGGGACATCTCAGATGCGTGCCTTCTGCCCCCTGGGAGAAACATCTACTGAGGGTCCTCTGGAGTCGCAGCTTCCGATGGCTGACTCCCAAGCCAAGATCTCCTCCACACACCCCCATCCCCGCACCTGCAGGAACAGGGGTGAGATGGCATGCAGTGCCCACAGAGAGTCTGGCTTCTGTGTTTTTCAGATATTTTATTAAGAATAAGGCATATGACAGTCACCCCTAAAGCACAGGGCTCTATTTCTGTGGGTGAGTGAATACACTTGGAAAAGCATTGGATTAAAAAGCACAGCCAACAGAGAATTTGGAGCAGGATGCCTCCGCCCTGCCCTGCACGTCCCCCATTCCCGGCTGGCAACTCCGTGAGCAGGTGCTTTAGAGATGCCCGGCTGTCTGCACTGAGGAGGTGCTACTACACACTAGGCCCCCAACCTGCTGCTTGTTTGGGGAAGGGCTACCTCCTAGCAGCCCTGGACTGGTTTCCCAAATAGGCCACGGTGGGAAGGATATGGGGAGGCAGGGGTACAGATCCTCACGCTTTATGGCCCGCTGGTCCCTCCTGCCGCTCTCCTTCCTGGGTCTGTCCATACTTGGGGTGTGGCTGGTGCTCCAACTAGGGCCCTTGACTGTCCACGTCAACACGCCCCTCCCCCAGGGGGACCTCTGCAGCAGAGAAGGGTGACGAAGAAACCGTCCTCTCTTCTGGTCACCTAAGCACTTCAAGCATTTGTGGGAGGGTGTCTTCCTTTGGCAGGGTGGGTCCCCCAGGCTGGGTGGGGGGAGGACCAGAAGCTGAGGGTAGGGCTTCTCCCAGGCCCTGAGGCTGAGCTCTGAACCCCCGAGGCCAAGGGCAGGCCAGTCTCCAATCCCATTCTGCTCCCTGAGGGTTTTGTTCCGAACTTGGGGCAGGGCAGAGGGGTGGAGGGAAGTCTCCAGTCTGGGGGAGCGATGGGGAAAGGGGATGTCTGTTAAATTTGGAACCCTGTATCTGCCTCAGCCTCTCCCCCAGCTTGCTGAGTGGAGTGGGAAGGGTTGTCTTATTTCCTTTCCCAGGCTGAGAGTTGAGTCAGCCGCCCCAGCACTTAGAACCTTTCATCTGGGGGATCTCCAAGCGCCCCACAGACAATGAAGTGTCATTATCTCTGGTTGTTGGAAGAGGAACAGGAGCTGGGAGGTGCTGATCGAGGTCACTTAGGGAGAGGCAGGTGGGTTATCTGAGGATCCCTGGGGCGAGGGTTGGGTAGGGACACCCTGGGCTCAGGAGAGAAGAGGGAAGAGGGCTATTGCTATAGAGCAGGGGGAGGCCAGATGGGAGTAACTATGGCTTTTAGTGGGTGGGCAGATAAAGTACTTCACCATCTCTGTAGAATCGCAGTAACAAAGCCACCCTGTTCACTCCAAAAGTGTAGTTGTGGAAGACGAGGGCTTGGGTGGGCACCTCCAGAAAGGCACCCTTGCCCTCCTTTCCACAGTCCTCTGGCCCCTTCAAGTGAGTGCAACCAAGAGAGAAGCGGGGCCTTCCCACCCAGTCATACCGTGAAGGGGCGGTGACAGGGTACATTGAGTTACACACACTTGAGGGGAGACACAGAGGGCAGAGGCACAGCCCCGGAGACTGGGGAGGGTAGGAACAGGGCCCGGCAGGGCAAGGACTCTAGGCCACCACTGTGGCCCAAGTTAGACTGGAGAGCATGGCCTGTCCCAAGGGTGCCAACTCCTTGGCCTCTGCATCCCAGTGGCTGGACCCCTAGACCAGGCTGGTTATTGCTCAGCGGTCTCCGCTGTCCAGCGTGTGGCAGGCTGGGGCGGGCGCTGCGCATGTGGCCAGCGAGTGCGCTCCGGGGCTTTGCTTCTTGCCCATTTCCCATCCCCTCTAACGTACGGAGTGAAAGAGGGTATGACTGGGGATTTCCCCGTTCTTCATGGGGGCTGTGGCCAGAGAAGGGTTTATCTCACCTAGAGACTGGCTCTGCTCCCCTCCTGGATCCCTGGGTGACACAGAGAAGGCTCGGCCTCAGCCAGGGCCAGGACCTGCCAGGATGGGGTGTTTGTGAGGTAAAAAAAAAAGGCCCCTCCCCGCCCCACGCCCGCCCTCTACAGTCCCTGGAAGACCTCACAGGCACTTAGGACTCAAAGCAGGACCTGCAGGACCTGCAGGACCGAGAGGACGATGGCTTTGAAGGTGGGGGTTTCTCTTTCTAGGCTGGGCTTGGGGTGAGGGCAGAGCTGGACTGGAAACTGCCTCTGGTCATGAGCGTGGAGGAGGGGAGAAAGGCAGTTAGCACGTGGGACACTCCACTTTCCATTTTGCCATTTCCCAACCTAGACAGAAAGGCTGCGAGCACCCCACCACTGTCAGGTCGGACAGCACTGGGACGTCCCGGAGGGGGCTGGGCTGGGGACTTCCTTGCCAGCAAACTCAAACCTCTGTCAACGATCACTTCCAAGGAGCCAGGCCCCTCCTCCAGCCTCTGGATGCATCCAGCTAATGAGGAAACTAGGTAAAACTGACACCAACACACCGCACTAGGACAACTCCCAGTCTAAACCCCTAAGCTGGCATCCTGTGGGGACGGCACTGGAGACAGCTGTAGACTAGGCTCGGCCACCAAACCCATCCGTAACCCTAAAGGTCTGTGGTACTACCTTCCAGAAGGTCAAACTTCCAGCAGGCTATACTCTCCCCACCAGAGGCTCTGGGAGGAGGTGTCTTCTAAAGTGTTAGGTGCTCACCTGTAAGGACCTATCAGCGGGATAGGGGAAAGAGAAGCGGCTTCGAGGAGAAAGGCCCAGCCTCCAGCCCCTGAACCGGAGCCTCTCCTAGGAGGAAGGCTTGGACGAAGGGCAGCCGTGCGGGGCTGAGAGAGGCCGCGGGGGGCTGGGGTGGAGGCGGGGAGAGGCAGGGCAGCAAGGCCTAAGGGCGCTAAGTGCCACTCCGGTTCCTTTCCGTGGGCCAGCCCAGCCTTCCCCTTCCCGCCTAACGATTGTCAGTTTTCCCGGGACAGGGCGTGAATCCCGCCCCTCCCCTCCCAGTGGCAGGGTGGGGATCGTAGGAGGATCAGTATTGTGAGTCCTCTACCAGAAAAGGTGCACTCGCGGAGCCCCGCAGAGGAGCTCCTTTGCATGAGGGGAGAGCTCGAAGCTTTTGAAACGTTGGGAAATACAAAAGGCGGGGTGGTGGGGGGGGAGCGTTGGAAGGGATGGAGAAGCCGGGGCCACCTCGGCCCGCTCCCTGGAGGAGGGACCGGTTCTCTCGGCCTCCACGGACCTGTCAGCAAGGGCCGGGCTGCATCCCTAGCCGGGGGCCGGCCTCCCCCACTCCCCGCCGCCCCGCCAGCGCAGCGCCTACTCGGGGGCCCCGGGTGCACTGGGTGCACTGGGCGCACTGGGCGCAGGCGGTGGGTCGGTTTGGTCCGGGGGCTCCTGGGGAGGCGGCTGGCGCGGGCTGCGGCCGCTGGGCCGCGGGGGCCTCCGAGCGTAGAGGAAGAGCGCAGGGTCGGGCATGGGGTCGGCGTCGTCCAAGGCGCAGGCCGCGCGGTCCCAGGCGGCCCAGTCCCGGCCGGGGGGGCCCTTGGCGGCGGCCTCCGTAGTGGGCGGGCGACGAGCCCGTTGTGCGCGCCGGCGGGGCCGGGGTTCAGCTGCGGCGCCGGGGCCCGGGCGCGGTGCCTGCAGTCTCTGGCGTGCCGCGTACAGCTGGCAGGAGAGGTAGGCGGCCGCCTCGGTGTGCTTCTGCAGCTCGGTGCTCAGCACGGTGGCGCGGTGGCTGCGCCGACGCAGCTCCTCCAGGAAGCGGCGCTCTTCCGCGCGCAGACTGCAGCGCAGCGCGGACACCAGCGCCTCACGTTGCGCCACCTCCCGCCGCAGCTCGGAGTTGGCCGCTGCCCGCTCCGCTAGCTGGGACTCCAGCTCCCGGCATTTGCTCTCTAGCTCCCGCGACGCCGCCTCTGGAAAGAGGAGAGAAAGAGGAGAGGTGATGGTGCGGACAGTTCACCCCCCCACCCCCCAACAAAGCTTGCGACTCCCCAGTTCTCTCTCACTCCCCACGGCCACACCGGCCTCACTTTTTCCTCAATCAGGGCCTTTGCATCTATTCCTACTCTCTGCTTGCCCTCTCCTCTAATTCTTGGGATTTCAGCTTCCAGGGTGTCTAACCTGCAGCCCAGGATGGTTGCCGACGCGGCCCAACACAAAATCTAAGTTTACTTAAAACATGATGAGATTTTTGTGTGTGATTACATATGTTGCAATGTATTTAATGTGTGGCGCAATACAACAATTCTTCCTCCAGTTTGGCACAGAGTGGTTGCCAAAGGGTTGGACAGCCCCGGAACTCTCCGTGACCATTTTATTTACCCCACAAATGTTTGTTGAACCTTTACTATGTGGACTGTGTCAGGCACTGGGGCTATGGTGGAAAAGAAAACATTCTTCATGAAGCTCACAGCAGGCACAGTTGGAGAAGTATGGGACATAAGTACAAATGAAGGTGGGATTCACATGTGACATGGACCAATGCCATGACTCACGGAGAATGTGGCCTAATCAGAGAAGGCTTCCCAGCAGAAAAGCGATTGGGGCTAGGCTCTGAAGGATGAATAGATGTTAAGTAGTGAAGAGGGGAGGGGACAATGCTTGGGACAGAGGGACTGTGCAAAAGCAAGGGACTGAAAAGAACTGGGAGTGTGGGCAGGAAAGGGGAGTCAGTGTAACAGAACCTTATTTCAACAGAGAGAGAGGGTTTATTACATCTTGTACTTTTTTGTTTGATTGTTTACCTTTGGCCACTGCACTGGGTTTCAGCCAAAGATATACACTGGAAACATCCAGAGAGCTTTAAGAAAGCTTCCCAGGGCCCTACCAAAGGCCAGTTGAATCAGAATCTCTGGGACTGAACACGGGACCTGGCACTTCTTAAATCTTTCCAGGTGATCCTATGGACCCTCAGAGTTGAGGCCCCCTGCTCCTGGGCTATTAGCTCCATTTCAGCAGGAACAAGATCCCGAGGTTGGCACATGTGAGTGAGTGTAGGGACACAGGAAGCTGAAAGGTGACGAAAGGTGACAAAAGGTAGGTAAAAGGTTGCGCATAGTTGCCACTTAAAGAAGTGAGCTGAACTGCTTCAAGTCTTCAAGAGTCTAGATCTTTATACACACATACCCAAATCCATTTGTAGGGCGCCTAACATTTTTACCTTAAATTTCCAGCTTTCTCACCCCTAACTCTCGATCTATAAGTAGCACATCAGTATGGCAGGGAGTCCATTCTTAAATCTCTCCTGACTAAGAAAGACTATTTTTGTGATTCATTCTTAGTTAAGCATTTATGGAATCCCTCCCCATGTCAGATAATGTGTCTTGTACTTTGAGACAATGGGTACCACACAATTCTAATTTTTAGAGATTGTATAATTTGGTGATTAAGATCTCAACCATGCAACCCTTTTTATTAAAAAAAAGTTTTATTTCTGATAAAAATAACATAAAATTTACCATCCTATCAATTTTTAAGTGTACCGTTCCCCAGTGTTAAGGATACTCACAGTGTTGTGCAACAGATCTGTAGAACTTTTTTATCTTGCAAAACTGAAACTGTATATCCACTTAATATCATCTTCCCACCTCACCTGCCATTTTATGGGTGAAGGAATAATTTGTAAAAAAAAGAAATCTCTTAGTGGAATTGTTCCACTGGCCAGAAGTCACGCTTTCGTAAACCGAAGGATGTGCTAATGCGCATGTGTCCCTTTTCTCTTCCAGGCTTAGTTCCTTGAAGTCAAGGACCTTCTACTGTCAGTGTTGCAGCCTGACACTCAGCATCTTGGAGGACATGGACACCAACCGTGGGAATCACTTGTGCAAGGCTGGGAAAGACTGGTGAGGTAGGTCACAGAGGGGAATGACTTCCGCCAAGGGCACCTCCCGGCCACCATCTCCTCCAAGCTTTCCTTCTCCTCCTTTCCCCAGGAACGTGGGTGCAGGGCACTATGTATGGTGGTGCAGGCCGTTCCCTGCACAAGGTCATACAGCAAAAGGGGCAGGTGGGGCTACATCCTGCACTGTGCGCAACAAGCTGAGGAGTGGCTGTCCCCCAGTCTGGCCTGGGGACAGAGAAGGCTTGTGTCCTACTAAGTGGGGGGAAAGGTGACCTGTTGGGCCCCCATGACACTTCCCCATCAGTCACTGCCCTCTTACCTTGCTGGTGAGATTGGGCCTCTCTCATTTCCAGGTCATGGGTCAGTTCTGGGGGAAGAGAAAAGAAAAGGCAGTTGTGCGTGTACACGCGCGCGTGTGTAAAAGAGAGAGAGATATACACAGGGTCCTGCAGAAGTAACGCCTGCTTGAGTGTGGTCAGTAGGGTAATAACATGGGTGTAATAATTTATAGTTTTAATTTGAGCATTTCACCTAAAGTGTCATATGGTGTGCTTGAGTGTGATATTGTTATGTTACGGAATTACATGCTTATGATTTTGTAATTAAAAAAAGGATGTTATCTGTGCTGGACCCTTTGTATACCACACACACACACACACACTGGGGAATCACGGCTCAGGAGAAGCGGCGATACGGATCCTTAGAAGGCACCTGGGTTGGCTGCCACACACATTTCACTACAGCCTAGCAAGGCGAGGGGATGAGGGAAGGGGTCCAGGCACAGCCTGAGCCTGGCCTGCCTGATTCTGAGCCCAGAGATCTTTCCAGTGTGAGCTCTGTGGCCTAGATTTGGGGGTTGGTTCAACCCTGGTGGGACCAAGGAGCCTGGCTTGCTCTGGGGGCTGGGAAGTGTTGCTCCTTCCCAGGGGTGATGTACAAATATGTAACATGCCAACCCATCAGAGTTGGTCTGAAGGACGCCCTGCTGCACAGGGCACAGTTGCTTTAGTGTTTAGTCGCTGGGTCCAGGGAGGCTGGGGTGTCCTGGGATGCGTGGGGCCCTGGAGGGGGACTGAAGGTAGCAGCAATTCACCAATAGATCACATGTGTTGACTGTTTTCACAGCCAGTCCTGCTGTGCCAATGTTATTTTTTGTCATTATCAGCCCTGCCCCTTTTGCAGCCGGGGTTCCTCCAGGCTCCACCAGGTCAGCGCCACCTGGTAACAAAAAGCCTGTGGGCTCTTGGCACCATGTGCGTGGCTTGGCACTGGCGGTGCGGGGCGGCCCAGGAGCCCACCAAGGGTGCCAGAGCCAGAGCAGTCTCCTCCTGGGCCCTGGCAGCCAGGCCACAAGGCCCCAGCCCTCAGCCAGCTGGGATTGGCCATTCCCCCATGCTCCCCGCCCGCCTCCCCGCTCCGCCCCAGCTGGAGAAGGGGCACGAGGGAGCTGGGGAGCCACAGCTGCCTGGGTGAGGGCACCTGCTCAGGAGCACCTTTGTGTCCCTGCAGGAGCTCAGTGGGGTGCCCAGAGGGAGGAGGTGTGAACGTGGGGCAGGAGAAGAAGGTAGCACCCCTCTGGGACCACCACTGCGGCAGCACCTGGGGAGACAGCCTGCAGGTCCTCTGCCAGGCCTTCCTCTCCGCCCCCACCCAGCTCTTCTGGAGACCAGGCCTTTGCCGGGTGCCTCCCCTGGGGAGGCCAGCTGTTGCTAGGAGCCAGACAGCTGGGGTACGGGGCTTTTGCTGTGACCGGAGCCTGAACCTCCTCCCTAGGGCCCCTGGAGGACGCTGACGCCTCTGCCCCAAGGGCTCCCGGGGGCCGAGCGGGCCCCTCCTCCTGGGCCCTGCACTGTAGCTCGAGGGAGCCTGGAGTGGGTTCAGGGACGCGGCCCAGGGACTTTGGCTGTGCCATTAACTCCCTGTGGGCTGGTTTCTCCTGGCCCTTAATCATGGGAGTTGGGGGCAGATGAATCTCAGCTGGGCCTCTCTCCCTGCTCCGTCAAATTTCCCTGCTCATCTTCTGGTCAGAGTTCCCTCGGTTTCAATGAACATGCTGTGAGATCTGGTGCACTGTGACCCTGGGCCAGTGATAGCACTCTCTGAGCCTCAGTTTTCTCATCGGCAAAATGGGGATAAAACTGCTCCTGCCTCACAAGGGGCTGCTGCTGGGATTAAACGAGAGAAAGAAACAGGGGGCTGAGCCCAGGCCTGAGTCAGCGCTGAGTACGCGGCGGCCGTTCTTGTTATCATCCAGCCGCCCCACCAGCCAGAACCCGCTCACCCACCTCCAAGGCCTTCATTCTGAATCTTCACCTCTTTTTGGCAGGTCTCCCGGCAGCCTGCCCCTTGGCTCCCTCCTCTCTCCGGCCCCTCCTCTCTCCCACCCCCTTCCTAGTCTTTGGAGCCCTCTTTTTTGTTCTGTTCTCTTCTCACTCGCCCGCCCCTCATGAGCACAGCCTTATTCAGTCATTTTGGCCCCATGAGTGGCTGCCCTAGGCCAGCCCAGAGTTATTTTAAAATTTATTTATTTATTTTTAGAGAGAAGGGAAGGAGGGAGAGAGGGAGAGAGACATCGATGTGCGAGAGATACATCAATTGATTGCCTCTAGCATGCACCCATCCGCCCCCGTCTGGGGACCTGGCCCAAAACCCAGGCATGTGTCCTGACTGAGAGTCGAACTGGAGGTATTTGGGTTCCCAGGCCAGCACTCAATCCATGGAGCCACACCAGCCAGAGTTATTTTTATCTCCTTAATCAATAACGTAGAGACTGCAGGCCCACGCCCATCTGAGAAAGGTGGTGAGAGCCGAGGGCCCTCTGTTCCTATTATAATTTCTTGGGATTCTTGCCAGTGTCCTGAGTGGAAGGACCCAGGTCTTCAGAATCAGGGTAAGATAAAAAGAAATTAGAGGAAGAGCTGTAGCGTCTTAGGGTTCGCTCATCTCAATTTTCCTTTAATGTTATTGCAGTGAAAAAGCGGTGCCAGGCAGGGGTGAGTGGGCGCGGCGCTGGCTCTGCTGCCGAGCAGGCTTTGAGGGAGATTGCGCAGAGCCTGGCCTTGGAGTGTGGCGGCCGAACCTGCACTTGGAGTGGGAGGAGGCTGTGGGGGCTAAGAGTCAGGACAACTGGATTTTTATGCCAAAGTGAGAAGCCAAGCAGGTCGCTCAAACGCTCTGGGCCTCAGTTTCCCTCTGGAGAATGGGGAGCCTCCTATAAGCAGAGGCTGGAAGGGAGACAGAAGTCTGGCTATCTTGGGGAGAGAATGTGCAGAAAACTCAAGAGTCTGGAAGTCTGGGTTCTAGTCTTAGTCCTGCCATTAACATACTGTGTGACTCTCTCTCTAGGCCTCAGTTTACCTACTTTTACAGAGAGGAGGTCAGGCTGTTCCAGCTGAGACGTACTGTGAGTCACTGGCCTGAAGCCCGCCCTCGGTGACTCGGCCTGGGTGGGCCCCTGGGCCAAGGCCAGGCCTCTGAGAGGGCCAGGCAGCTGAGGCCTGATGTCCAAGACGGAGGTCAGGCTTGGGACTCAGCTTTGTCCTCGGTGCCTTCTTCTGTCCTGTTCACGAATCCAATTGGTTGCCAAGTCCTTTCCTTCCATCTGCTTCCCGCTGGTCCTCCTCTTCCTATGCCCGGTCCTCTCTCCTCTGCACCATTTCAGCAGCCCTGTCACTAGTCCCCTGCCTCCCTCTCCCACCAACTCACCTTCCATACAACTGCCAGGTCGAGCTTCCTGAGGCAGCGTGCTGCTGCTCAGAAACCTTCAGTGGCTCCCTGCTACCCCAGGGGACAGGCCAAACTTCTTCGCTGTCCTGGTATTTGTTAAGATCTTCCATGATCCGGTTGCAGCCGTATTTCTCACCAGTCTCCTTTAAGCTCAGTTTTATCCATCAAAGTCAACTTTTCCTAAGCTTCCAGTTTCCTTCCTAAGGACTTTACCATTTGCCATGCTGTTCCTTTCATTTGGAATGCTTTCTCCACCCCCTTTCCTCCCGAACATTTCAGCATGTCCCAAGTCTTACTCAGCTTGGAGGGGGTGGAAATGCGTCCCTCCTCCGGGGAGCCTGGGGTGCCTGGTCCCCTCCTCCACCACTGGCACCTCAGGCCAGACACCGTCCTGCTCCTGAACTCCTGTCCGCCCTCTTTGTTTTCCGTCTATCTTAATATTCCCCTCCGTGTGTGTGTCTCCCCAACTAGGCGGAGGGCTTCTTGGGGCTGGGAAGCACTTGGTGAACGTTTATTAGAAAGGGACAGGAAATGCCCAGGAACGGTTCCCAGGTTTCCCTCTGCTGCCGAACCAGAACCCTTCGCCCTGAAACTCATCTCTCACCTCCCCCAATCTCAGTTTCCTCATTCAGAAAAACGGTAGCATTGTTGAGAGGCCCATGGGGGACCCCCATCAGAGACAATGATTTGATGGTGACAGTCGCCCCTGCCCCGCAACCACCCAGCCGTCCCTCCCGGCCTCACCTGAGCAGCGTTTCTGCAGCCTCAGGATTTCCAGGTGCAGGTCCCGCAGCAGGGCCATCTGCTCTTTCTTCAGGAAGCTGATGTGGCGTTGCACGCTCTGGATCTGATGCTCTAGGGACACGGTATCCATGGCAACCCAGGCCTGGGCCCCACCTGGAGAGGACGACAAGGTGAACCCACATCTTCTGGGCCCATCTGCCCTGCCCACCCTCAGATCCCTCACAGTCTCAGCTTCTCAGAGAGGAACGCCAGTGGAGCAGCAAAGTCAGTAAAGAGAAACAGACAGGTTCTAGCCTGCTTCTTACCCAGCTGTGTGACAGTGGGCAAGCCCTGTCCCTCTCTGGGCTCTTGGTTTTCTCATGGCCAAACTGAGTTGTTCAGTAGAAGAACCCCCGAGGTCTCTTCCAGCTCCGCCATCCTGCAAACATCCCAGCTCGGGGGTGACCGTCACATGGCAGGGCAGCAGCATGGCTCTGAGCACACCCTGTCCCAGTTCAACGCCATTTCTCTGAGTGAACCTCCAGCCAGGGCTCTGGGCTCTCTTCCAGGTCGTAGAGGAGGAAGACCAGGTGAACATTTTACTAACACTGACTTTGTGCGTAGAAGCCCTTTTTAAGGGAAGAATGGGGGAGGGTGTTAAGGAGCCCCATGCGGTGAACCAAAGGTGGAACTTAAGACACTGATGGGAGGCGACACTTGCATCCCTGGATCCTGATGACAGCCTGGCCTTTCAGCTCTCCCTTCTTTGGCTCTACCCCTTTCCCTTTCCCATGAGTCCCTGCTCCGGTGATGGGCGTCCTGGAAGAGCAGAGGCAGAGGGCAGTGGAGGCCCACACCTCTGGAGTCCAGGACCCAGGGCGCATGCCTTCCCCACCAGGGCCTCCCTAAGCTTCTGAAGGACCTGCGCCGCCTGCCCCAGGAATTCCTGGGGCTTTGGAGAGGGAGGCCAGTTGTTGGGCGGCTCCACTCAGCAAATGGTCCCGTCCAGACTGGCTTCCGTGTAAGTCTTTGCGAATCCAGATTTTTATTTGTACAGTTATGCCAAACTGGTCCCCCTGAGACCCGTGCTTTCATAGGCTTCTCTCTCTGAGCTCCCTGCCCTCGTGTCCCCCTGGTCCCCTGGCCCAACCGACCAGGCCCTTCATTTCAGCAGAGGGTGGCCCTCTGGCCGGTAAGAATCACAACATTTATGGACCATCTGCTATGTTTAAACAACTTCATGCACATTATCTTACTTCTGCCAACCATTCTTCAGTGGATATGTCCACCCCCACTTCACAAACAAACTTAGACTCAGAACTGAAGTGACTTGTGCCAGTTCATGTGGTCAAAGTGGTGGCAGATGCCATTCTCCAACCTTCTGAATCCAAAAAATCTCAAATCTTTGGAATCTAAAGAAGGTTGCCAATATTTACACTGAGGACAATCTTGAGTTTGAATCCTGGGCCCTTCAGTTACCTGCTGTGTGACTTTGGGCAAGAAAGTTAACCTTTCTGAGCCTTTTCCTCCTTCCGTAAAATGGGGCTACTCATAGTAACAGTGAGGAGTAAATAAGATTAAAGAGCGTGGAGCACTGGACCTGGCTCAATCAGTCCTACATCGCTTCTCATATCTATTAAATATGTGAGTAGGTTGATTCGCTCCTCTCTTTAATCGTTCACTCATTCAATGAGTTACTGTTGCCAACTGCTGTGCTGGGTACAGGGGACACTGATGAGCAAAACAAAATCCTTGCTCTCATGGAGCTCACAGAGCCAAGGGGAGAGGGTCAAACAAACAGAAAATGCATATCACAAATAATAAGTAAGTTTACAATGACTATTTGTGATAGGTGCCATGAAAGAAACCTACAGTGTAATATGGAAGAATACAAAGTGGGACCTATTTTAATTTTTAAATTTATTTTTATTTTTGACTTTAGAGAGAGGGGAAGGGAGGGAGAGAAACATCGAATGGCCGCCCTTCTTACATGCCCTGACCGGGGGTGAAACCCGCAACCCGGGCATGTGCTCTGACCTGGAATCAAACTGGCGACCCTCCGCCCTGCAGGACAATGCCCAACGAACTGAGCCGCACTGGTTGGGGCTAAAGCGGGACCTATTTTAGATTTGGGGTCAGAAAAGGGTCTCTTTGAGGAAGTGATTTTAGGCTGAGACCTCATAGCAGAGAGATTGCTAAGAGGGTCCCCTGGACTTCCAGCTCCTGGCGGTCAAGTCCTCCTTTGTTACTCCCTCCCCGCCGGGGTGTGGGTGGGACCGGGAATATGGCAGTTTTCACTCCTGTGATTAGGTTTATGACAGGGATGAAGAGATTGTGCAGGTGTAATTAAGGTCTCCAATCAGTTGCTCTGAGTTAATCAAAAGGGAGATTATCCTGGGCGGCCCAGTTCAAAGGGCCCTTCCTGAAGGAAGAGAGAAAGCCTGGAGCCTGGGAGAAGTCCTGCTGGTGGCTTGGAAGAGCTAACTGCCATGCCAGGGAGCCTGTGGAGCAAGCCACACGCAGGGACCCGAGAGAGGCTCTGGCAGCCAGGGGCGGCGGCTGGCAAGGCCACGGGGCTTCAGTCCCACAACCATAAGGAAGCAAATTCTACTGACAACCTACGGGATCTAGGAAGTGTGTGTCTCTCTAGTTAAGCTTTCAGATAAAAATGCAGCTGGTCTTGATTTCAGCCTCATGCAGAGGACCCAGGTAAAAAGTGCCAGACTGCTGATTTTTGGAGACTGTGAAAAAACGCATTTATGTTGTTTTAAGCTACTTAGGTACTTTGTCATGCAGCAGCAGAAAAGTAATACAGGCTTGAAGAAAGGGCAGGAGTTAGTCAGGAGAGCACTGGGAAGAGCATCCCAAACAGGAACAGCATTTGTGAAGGCCCAGAGGTACGATAATAATGGTAGCTGACTTTTATTGAGTGCCTACTAAGTGCCAAGCCTTGTGTGCTAAGTGCTTCATAAGGTCTTTCTGAGAAACGGGCACTGCCAACTGCTGATGAAGCCTGGAGGTGTAGAGTACTTGGGGGGGCTACAGAAGTATGGTTAGCGGGGAGAGGATCACACAGGATCTTGTCAACTATGTTGAGAATTTTGGATTAATATTAAAAGAATTGGGAAATTATTAAAGGATTTTAGGCGGTGAGGTACATGATTTGCATTTTTAAAAGATCACGGTAGGCCCTGGCTGACGTGGCTCAGTGGACTGAGTTCCAGCCTGTGAACCAAAATGTCACCGGTTCGATTCCCAGTCAGGGCACATGCCCGGGCTGCAGGCCAGGTCCCCGCATGGGGGTGTGTGAGGCGATCAGTTGATATATCTCCTGTACATTGATGCTTCCTTCCTCTCTTTCTCCCTCCCTTCCCCTCTCTCTAAAAGTAAATAAATCTTTTTTTTTTTTAAAGGTCAGCATGGTTGCTGTGGAGAGGGCAGATGAGAGGGCGCGGTGGACACGGGAGGCCAGGCGGGGGACTGCAGCGGCGGTCCAAGTGAGAGAGGACGGCGGCGGGACCGCATGGCAGACGTGGAGGTGGGGAGAAGTTCGAGGCGTGTTTTGGGGGTAGAACTGGCAAGGCACGGGGACAGATTGGATTAGGTCAACGATTTTCAACCTTTTCATCGCAAGGCCCACAAACTACTAAAATTCTGCAACACACCAAAAATATTTATTTTTTTGCCACTCTGACCAAAAATGGTTATAATTTTGATTCACTGACACCAGGTGGCCATTGTTATGTTGGCTGTTATCATTTTTTTATTTGACAATTTAAAGAAAAAGAGGTCAGTGACCCTGACTAGTCAGGTAGTGCATGTTTTAAAAATTCTTAGCGCACACTGGTTGAAAATCGCTGACTTAGGCCATGGCGGGGCGGGGGCTGTCCGGGATGTTTAACACTTGTCTGGCTTGGGCAACTCAAGTATGAAGGCACATTTGCCCGACGTTCCCCACTGCCGCCTCTTTCACATTGGGCCCTTTCTCTACCTAAGCACTCCTAAGGCGATCTCGTCTAATCCCATGACTGTGAATGCTATTTATACATTTCCTCGTAAACTAACCCTCCCCTGAACACTAGACTGAGCACCAGACACATCTGTTTGGTCCCAGTGCTCTCGTGATCGCTCCTGCAAACCTGCCCTTGCTTACTTGATGTTCGCCGTCTTGATGAACAGCACCGCTATTGGCCCCGTTACTCAGCTGCTCAGGACAAATGATTAGGAGTCATCTTTTAGTCATCTCTGTATCCATCTGTTGGTTCTATCCTCAGAAAACACCCTACATCCAATCAGTTGTCACCATATCTGTTGTGTTTCCCTAGTCCCTGTCACCACCGTCCCTCCGGTGTGCCACTGCAGGAGCCTCCTAACTGGCTTCTTCCTTCTGCTCTGGCCCTTGTGTTCCTTGCGGCAGCCAGAGTTCCTTTAGCAAATCTGATCAGGTCACCCCATCCCTCACTGAAAACCCTCCAATGGCTTCCTGTCACACCAAGAGCCAAGCCCAAAGTTCTCACCAGACCCTGCACCTCATCGCAGCTCCTTTTCCCCTTGTCTCCCACTGTTCTCCCCTTGCTGGCTCCACCCCGGCCACTCTGGCCTCCTTGCTGTTTCCTGAACATGCCAAGCAACACCCCTGCCTCAGGGACTCCATATATATGCTGTCCCCTCTACCAGGAATGCCCTTTGCCAGTATATCCTCATGGCCCTTCATTCAGGACTCTGTTCAAATGTCACATGATCAGGGACTTTCTCCATTATGATTTAAAATAGACCTCTCTGTCTCTCTCCACTCCCTGAATTGGCATTGTTTTTCTTCCATGCCTTGATCACCAGATGCATATGTTACATTTTTGTTTACTGTCTGTTTCCCCTGCCAGACTGTTGGCAACACAAGATGGACTGTTTTGTTCCCTAGTACCTAGGACAGAATCTGGCAAATAAGAGGTACTCTGTAAGTATCTGTAGAATGCATGAGTGAGGGAGTTTGTGAAGCCGGGCTGAACGGATGTGGAGGGGCAGATTTACAGAGAAGGTAAGATCCAGCCTGAGACATGTTACATTTGATGTGCTCAAGAGACCTCAGACAAGGAGAAATAGATGTCAAGTAAGCAGTCAGACATACTGGTGCATTATTCAGGAGAAAACAGGTGAGTTATGTCTGTGCTCTCGTCTGTCTGTGTTGGGATGTGTGTCTGTACAGGTACCTGAGCCCGTGTATGTATGTGTGCAGGCATGTGTGGTGGGGGGGTCTTGCATCTGTTGAATCTATACATCTGCTGTGTGCACAACTGGAGGATGAAGGTGTGTGGGCCGGTGCCTACAATGAGGAGAGAAAATATCTGTTCCCAGCTGCTGAAATGCAAATGTCTCGGAAGAGTCAAAGCCCTTTCCACACAGCCCTGGAGACTGGACCCTGGCCACAGTGACAGACTGAGCCAACCAGCTGTTTCCGTGCCTTCCCAGAAGGACTTGGGTATTTGCTTCCAACTAGGCAGGCTGCTCTTCTCAGGGCAGAAATTTGGGTCACAAACGATCTTGGCAAATATTCTTTCTTAGACATTATTTAGTTTGTGTGGAGGAGGGCGGGAGATGGAGTGGGGAAGACAGAACCAGGGACAACACAGGTCCCCTGTGTGAGGCTGGGGAGTCACAGGTACTTTGGAAGACCCGACCCAGAAAGAAATGTCAGGTTTGCACATAGAAATGCAGTCCTGGAACCTCCCGGCTTCAGGACCTCGTGTCTGAGGACACAGGCCAGGCCAGTAGCAGCAGCTAAGGCATAGGAGCGATCGGCTCCATCTTCCCTGCCCCGCCCACCACGTGCCAAGGCTCACAGCGCCCCTCACCTCTGTGCCCCGCCCTGACTGCTGCGGGGACTGCGCTGCTTCTGCCTTCCGCCTTCGCCCAGCAAAAGATGACTACTTCTCTGTTTTAATTTTCCAGCTTGATGAAAAATGTTCATTTTAAAGAATTATCATCAAGAATAAAAAAGGACCCGTCATACAGGGTTCACAATTTCTAGAGTTAATTCCAAGTACTTTTGACACACCTTTCATCTCTGAAAGTTACAGGAGCTTTGAGATCTTGCTTCCCTGGCAGGCCATCTGTTTGGCTCAAATACATTCAACTCAACTCAGTTAAAAAAAAAAAAAGAAAGAAAGAAAGAAAGAAAGAAAGTTACCAGTATTTTTCCCGTTGGGGATGTTAGTGGGAGGAACCTTCTGTGTTCAAGTCCCCAACTGTAGACTAAGTGTCAGGTGCAGGAACACTCTGATCCTGGCACAAGTCTGACTCTGTAAGGCCTGAGTTCCTGATCCCTGAAAAAGGCTTCACCTCCTGCTTGTCTCTTTGGAGCTTCCGGGTACCCACTGTCCTCCCCGGCCATCTGCCCACAACTGACTTGGCAAGTAGGAAATTGCGGTCCTCTCCCCTCGCCACTTCCTATGGTTCTTGGGACTGGAAGAACCGCAGAAAGTACAGAAGCACAGCACTCACAGCTCTGAAGGGCCTTGAGAATCACCTCAATCAGTGATTTTCAAGTTTGCTCCACAGAGCCCCAGAGCTCTGCGGAGGGGTTGCTGATACTGCCAAAAGGACTGGGGAAAAGGGCACTAGTGTTTTTTTTACCCCTCTTTTATACGGTGGGCTTGCGTATACGAATTCATTGGAGAAAAGGCTTCTGCTAACCAAAAGGTGGAAAGCCACTCTGATGGGTGGCTAACTACTCCCCTCTCTTCCTCTTCTCGATGTCTCGGAGCCCCTGCTGCCCCCAGCTCTCCCTCAAGTGCAGTGGCTGGGAAAGGAACCAGAGCTGAAGCCTCTGCTTTCCGCTTGCCTTGAGTTTGCAACGTCTGCCTCCCCTCACCCTTGACTGCTTCTCTTGTCCCAGTTTCTATTTCATTCTTCGTATTTCTTTTCCTATGGGACCGAAAATATTTATTCGGTCAACAAATATTCTAGCGCTGTTCTGAACACTCAATATCCACATTTTGTTAAAATTATTTAAGTATGTCTTCTTACTTCAAGGAATAAGTTAAACTTATTTTTATCTTTCTAATTGCCAGGGGAGGTAAATTAGATAGGACAGTCATGGTAATAAATGAATAAATGAGTGAATTAAAATGTTCTTTCCTTTTCTTAGTTGTTATTCCTCTTAACTATCTGACTCTGAGAGTTTGGGTAGTAAGGAGAAGCAGGAACTTGAGAAACCTTTCTCAGACATGAATGCACAGGTAATGATACTGATCATAATAATAAGTGGTACTGTTCTTAGCATTTTACATACACGAACTTATTTATCTTCGTAACAGCCCTACATTGAAGGTTCTATTAGTACATCTATCCACTCCAAGATGAGGAAACAGAGGCTTAGAGGAGGTTAAGTAGTTGCCCAACGCACAACTGACAGTGCCTGGCAACTTGCAACCCCCACATGCTGCTCGCTCTGGCATTTAAGGCCCTTCACAATCTGAAAGCAGTCCACGTTTGCAGTCGGATCCGCTCCTCTTTTGGATTCTACCTCTTGCTGCTCTCAAAACAAATTCTCTTCATTCCTGTGAACATCCTTCCTTTATTATTCCCCCACCCTATCTCTGCCCCTTCAAAAGCTTCCCTGACCTTCACCAAGCTGAAATGATCCTCTTCTGCCACTATGTGCCCCAAGCATTCCACCGCGAATCACTTTTGAGGGGTGGGGGGTGGTGGGGGTGGTGTGTGTGTGTGTGTGTGTGTGTGTGTGTGCGCGCGCGCGCTGTTCTAAGCAGGAAGCATCCTGAGGGCAGGGCTTTGTCTCCAGGAATTCCTTGCATGACCAGGAGCACACGGACTGAGTTGAGTGTTACTGGCAATCACCAGGGCGAGTAAGTGCATGTATTAAAAAATAATTACTCCCCACATGCCCAAGTCCTTGGCTCTCCTGGGGATTTGCATTGAGAACAAGGAGTCAGCTTTTGACAAATGCCTGAGACTGTGTGTAAGGTGGGGTCCCTTGGCTAGTGGTGGAACCACATCCTCTAGGGGTCTGGTGATCCTCTCCCCTCCAGAGCCCTTCTCGAAGACCCCTAGGTTATGCTCCCCCCTCCACTGAACATCCAGGACCCCCCACCTTAGCAAAGCAGAGGATCCAGGAGCAATGGAGTGGGATGTATAGGGAAACCGGAGCTTCCACCCTCTTCAGTCTTGATGTTCTGCCCTGATTTCTCCTCCAATATGACTCCCAGAGAAGCGGGGGGGTGAGGGGGGGTGTTGTGGAGACTAAGCAGGACGGAGAAGAGGTACCGGGGAGGACAGGGAAAGGCAAGCAGAAAGAAAGATGTGTGCAGTGGGAGGTGGCAGTGGCCTGACCTCGACTACTCCAGACTCTCTGCCAGGGCCAGGAAGGGCCCGAGTCGGGGGGTGGAGGACAACTTCTGCCAGCAGCCCGCGGGTCCCGTCCGCCTCCCGCGCGCTGCGGCGCCCAGCCCCACACCGGCCCTCCCGGGGAGCTGAAGCTCAGGCCGCGCTGCTCCTCACTCGGGCCGCCGCGGCGCCCACCCCCACGCCCCCCCCCCCCCCCCCGGCCTCCTCACCTTCAGGACCGGAGGGAGCGACAGGCCAGAGGAGCCCTGGGTCCGCGGGCCGGGCGGGGGGAGGAGCTCTCCTTCCCCACACTAGCTGCACCCGGGGTTCCGCAGCGCCCGCCCCGGCTGCCGCGCCATCAGCTGCTCCGAGGCTGCGGGGCCGTGGCGCCGGGGCTCCGGCGGGGGGGGATCCGGGGCGCCGAAGGGGGTCCGGGGCAGCCTCCAGGCGTAAACACCCAGCAACGTGACCGGAACTGGCGAACGAGCCGTAGGGGGGAGCTGAGGGGGCGGGAAAGATAAGGGGGGAGGGGAGGGACCTGGGACTGGCGGGGAGGGGCCGTGGGCGGGGCGGGGGGGAAGGGAGGCTGCTGGCGCGCGGTCGGGGGAGGGGACGGGGAACCCCGGGAGCCGGGAGCCAGGTCTAAGGACCCCGGCTGCCCGTCAAGACTCCTGGGGCCCGCTTAGGCTGGGGGCTGGAAAGGAAACGTGGGGAACCCGCCGGCCCCGCGGAGAGCGGGGGCGCAGCGTGTGGGTCAGCACCGCGGACAGCGCCCAGGCCCTCAGGCCGCGGTCTGAGCGGCCCCTCGGCGGGTCCGCCGGCATAGGAGCCACAGACAGTGCCCTTACTAGTCAGCGGACAGTTGGGTGGGGTCCGGGGTGAGCTGACCAGGGATCAGGAAACCTGCCCTGTGCCTAGTTGGCAGCAGCGCTGCCCCAGACCGCTCACTAGCTGTATGACCTTGGGTTAATCTCATCATCTCTCTGGGCCCAGTTAATAAAATATCTTTCCTTCAATGTGAAGTTCCCATGTGCCAAGAGACAATACTTTAAAAACTCTGAAATCCAGATCACTGGTGTGGATCTTTTTCACAGCACATGGAAGGCTTCTGAAGCCAGGCTGTTTGGCTTTTAATTCTGACTCTATCAATACCTTCCTCCCCTCTGGGCCTCAGTCTCCTTATCCAGAAAATGGGATAACGATGGTTTATGCAACATAAAGTCTTTGCGTTGTTGTGAGGATTAAATAAATTTATGTATGTACAGTGCTTGAAACAGTGCTGAGTTCTCATTAGGCATTCATGCTCACGATGGCAAGGGACCATCGTGTGAGTGGCTGGTGGCTCACAGCTCCCTCTGGGTAAGTCCTTTCCACTCCTGCCTTCAAGGAAAAGCACCATCCACTCTGCCAACAGGATCTCTGTCAGAGTGTCATGAGGTGAGAATGAAAGGGTTTTGTAAAGTGCATGCGAATGGGATTGTTGTGACCAAGCCCCATATGTTATTCTTCCTAATCTGTTACCAAGATGGGTCCTGGGAGGCTGGCTTTTCACCACCTAAAGCAAACAATTCCAGATGGCTTTCCGAAGAGTGGCCCTGCCTGTTCACAGGAGGGGGGCCAGCCCTGTCGCGAGAAGTGCTTCCAGGTGGGCAGACAGGCCTGACTCTCGGGCCGTCCTCAGGACTCGTGCAACATCTTTGGCTGAAAAATATTCACAGGTGAAACAACCAAACATGTGCACAGAGCACCCACACAACTGACAGTGATGAGCTGGCAGAGCTGAGAGATGGCCATGTGAAGGCAGAGCTGGGGAATGAACTTGGGGGTCAGGGGACTAAAGGGCACCTCATTGGGGGAGGTTGACAGTCAGTCAGTCAACACACAGACTAACACCGAACAAGGCTGACCTCATGGAACTCTCCCTGGAGTTGTGGGGAGACCCAGAGACTTATTATAAAGTAGGGAGATGATGACGATAATAATCAACATTTATTATGTACTTTCTATGTACCAGGCAATCTACTAACCACCATTTAAAAATCTTTTTTTCTATTTTCATCATTAAACTTGTAACAAAATCAGTGCAAACTAAAGTGTATAAAAAGTATACAAGTACATCTCACCTCAGACTTAACCATTATTTTGAGCCAAGCCCACATACTCTCATTGAAACTTCAGAGAAATCCTATTGGAAATTTAACGCCGCCCAGTTTGTAAGTAGCAGAGCCAGAACTCAACTCCCAATCCTGTAAAGGCCAGAGGTGAGCTTCATCCTGTCCCTCAGCAAAGAGATGGACCCACTTGTGCAGAAAGCTTTAGGAGAAGGTAAGAGCCTTGAATGCCAGTTGTAAGGGTGAGGCCAGGTGACAGAGAAGGCCTCGAGGCTCCTCCATCTCGTCATGACAGCTTGGAATACTGACTTCTTGAGTTCTGTTCGTGTGCAACTCTGCATGGGCCAGTGTGCCAGTAGGGAACAGATGGTACATTTGAAAAGGATCATTTATTTAAAAAAAAAATAGAGAGAGAGAGGAAAAAAGAAAGATCATTTGGGGGGCAGAGTTTAAGGACAGGGATAGGTGGAGCTGTTTTCAGACCTAGGCCTGGAGGGATAAGAGAAGAGGGAGTTATTGGAACTCAGAGAGGGTAGATTTGGAGGGAGGGCGGTGGCTTCCCCTCAGGGAAGGAACATCCACAGTGAACTGTCAGGCAGGGAGCTGAGGAATGAGTAACCAGATGTCATCCTCCTCCTGCCTCCCAATTTCCTACGGGCACCTCCTCCAGACAATCTCTATCAGAACCAGAAGTTCAGGGAGCCCATTGACATTGTGTGCGCAGGCTGACTTCCCACGACACAGCAGAGCAGACCAAGGTGAGGAGAGTCCCTGGAGGGACGAGGTGTCTGGTACAGTCTCCCGCAACAGCTTGGGTTCCACTTGCCGTTCTCTCCCAGGCTGCCACCCATGGAGAGCTCCAACGCTGGTGGGCACACGGCCCCCTCTCCATGCAACAAAGAGGCAGGTGACGATGTTCCAGGAGTAGCCTTTTCTCATCAAAGGTTCTGGTCATACTGTCCTGGCTTCTCAGTTCAGCGTGGGCCCCCAGAAGACCACCCAATCTTGGTTCCTTGGGATTCTGTGGCTGGAAGGAGGGCGTGTTGGGGGCTCTGGGGCTGGAGGGCCAGCCAGAGGTCACTGTGGGTAAGCTTCTTAGCAAGAATAGCTCCTGTGCCTGATTTAGACAAAATGGTCCCTAAAATCTCAGCTCTGACTTTCAGAATTTCTGATTATTCCTAAACCACTAGCATGGCAACAGGAATGAGCTGTGGGAGGCGGAGAGAGAGAGAGAGAGGGAGAGTGTACGGGGTCACAGTTTGACCTCAGACACATCCCCTGTGCCTCAACCTTGCTCACATCCTCCTCCATCTACCCATCTAGGCTGCAGAGCTGAGGGGCTCCCCTGACAGGCATGATTGAAGGGACCGCTGCCTGTGTCCTAAATCCTCCCACGTCAGCCCACTTTCCATGATCTTGGGCAACCAACTCCAGAAATCATTGGCAATCTGGTGTGGCTGCGGCCCCTTTTTCTCCTTCCTTCTCCCCTTAGCTCTGCCAGGCATGATGCTCCACATTTTACCTTAAATGCACCACTTCCTATTGCCAGTTCTTTTTAACATTATGTTTTATGAGAGAAGTATTAGAATTGCACTTGAATAAGGTTGAGGAATGCAATTAAAAAAGATATATCTGTAATCCTACTGCCCTAATGCAACTAGTATAATTTCTGTGAATTGTTTTCTAACTCACGATGATTTACATAGTTGTTTCCAAGGCACAACCATCTGATTTTTTCCACCCATGTTGTATCATGATGCTTTTTTCATGTTTCTATATAGTCTTCACCATTCTTGCAACCTCTTGATAATTGGCTATTTGTGATTGGTTTTTGTCTTTTATTGTTTGAAATACATTATTGTTTTAAAATAATCTGAAATATTTCTAATGAAGAAAATGAGGAGTCCACAATCTCACCATCCAGGTAATATAGAATTATATACATATTATCCAGGGAATTCTTTAAAATACTTTACAAAAGAGGACATGCTGATGCTTAAAAAAGTTAAACCCTACTCATCCTCCACCCCCAACTTTTCTGCCCAAAGTTTTCTGCCATTAGCAAATTCCACATTCACACACACACACACACACACACACACACACTCCCACACACAAACACACAGTTTTTATTTCTCAGGTTCTGGCAGGATCACACAGCTCCACACCCTGTTCTGCCTGGTGCTTTATTCACTTGTATCTTGATCTCCTAAAGATCATTTTATGTTTTCATTTGCTAACCAATGCCTATGTATTAAAATTTATTCTCATTATTTAGTGTGGAAAAATTGGGAATTCTAGGTAAGTAAAGATATGAAAACAAAATTGCTTATTTATACCTCCCAGTCAAAACAGCTCCAAATATTTTGCCAAAACCCCCCACACCAAAAACCCTTTTCCTTATATATATAGTATTATACATCTTTTAAACATCTTGTTTTGTAGTCTTCTTTTTAACTTGGTAATGCAACATGAACATTTTTTTCCTGTGCAAAGTGTTGTTCCATTGTATGGATAAACCACAGTGTACTGTGTCTATCCATTTTCCAATTGTTTAAAAGTTAGGTTATTTCTACTTTTTAATGTTATAAATAGTAATATGGTGATCATCCTGGTAGCTTAATTGTTTAAAAAGTGACTTTTATTGTATTTTTTTCTTATTGCACATGTTTACTTAGAAAAAGTAGACTATATATTTAAGAAAAAGAATAAAATAAAAATCACTATAACTTTATCCACCCAGAGGTAAATCACTTTTTTATATGTTCCTGTAGTTCTTCCAGATTTTTCAACGAATATATTAATATGCTAATTCTATTTGGCAACATTTTTTTACTTCAAAATATATCTTTTAAAAAAATTGAGTTACAGTTGCCATGTAACATTATGTTTATTTCAAGTGTATAACATAAGTATTTGGTATTTGTATATATTGTGAAATAATCACCACAATAAATATAGTAACAGTCATCACAATACATAATTACAATTTTCTCTTGTGATCTACTCCCTTAACAACTTTCAAATATGCCATATGGTACTGTCAACTAGAGTCACTCTGCACAAGAATTGGACCAATTTGGACTTCAGCCTCAGTCAAGGTTAGGAGCGTCCACTTTTCCTCTCTATACAAACCCTGTGTGGGGTGATTAAAAACCAATCAACAGTTCCAAATTTGACAAGTAAAAAAAAAAATGGTATCATATTTAACTTTTCAAGTGCTTAATTTCTAGCAAGATTGAATTTTTAAAATGTATGTATTAGCCATTCAAATTTCTTTTGTAAATTGTTCATGTCTACTCATTTTTCTGTTGGAGTGTTCATCATTCCTTATTCCATCACAAAACTTGCAATATTTTAATTTTTATAGTAAAATACACATGTCATAAAATTTACTGTTTTTACTAGTTTTAAAATAAATTTATTGGTGAGCGAGAGAAAGAAACATTGGTTTATTATTTCACTTAGTTACGCATTCATTGGTTGCTTCTCATATGTGCCCTGACTGGGGATCAAACCTACAGCCTTGGTGTATTGGAGTGATGTCCTTTTTTCAGATGCTGGTAACCACCATTCTACTTTCTGTCTCTATAAATTTGACTACTCTGGGTACTTTATATAAGTGGGATCATACATTGTCCTTTTGTGTATGGCTTCTTTCACTTAGCATAGTGTCTTCAAGGCTCATCCATGTAGCATGTGTCAGAAGTTCCTTCCTTTTTAAAGCTGAATAATACTCCATTGTATGTACACACCAGATTTCATTTATTCATTCATTTGTCCCTGGATACTTGGGTTGCTTCCATCCCTCAGCTATTTTGAATAATGCTATAAACATTGATGTATACATACATAAATTTTTAAAAACAAGTTTGATATTTGCCTTTTAATTTTGTTCATTGTGTTTTGTGATGTGCTAAGGTTAAATATTTTTTATTTTAGTTAAATGAATTAATTTCTTCTTCATGGTGTCTGCCATTGATGTCAAGCTTAAAAAACTACCTCCATTTTAATATGTCAATACTTTATATATTTTTCTAATTTTAATATATGTATTTATGCACTTATATTTATAATTCATCTGAAATATATTTTGCAATGTGAAACAGAGATCTTGCTCCCCCCCATAAATAGTTAACTAATTGTCCAATTATCATTTCCCACACTAGAAACATATGCTACACACACAGACCTTGGGGGGTGATTTCGGATTTTATAGTCCGTTTCCTCGGTTTCCATGTTAATTATGTGGAGGAAACTTAAAGCAAAGATGCTTAAAAAGAAAAGGAGGACGAAAGGCAACTGCCAGCCTCCTGCTAGACGCTACACTTCGAGGCCAAAGGCGAGCCGACAGCCTCCTTCCTCCGGATCTCCTTCCCGGTTTTCTTTTCCAGGATGCCTTTGTGTGGTCACATTCTTCACGACTCTGGTGCCCACTGTCACGTCTTTAGTTGGGACATAGTGGCGAGCTCAGGTGGGGGTTCTTAGGATTTATGCAACCTTGACTTCTGTGGAACACCGAGGAGGGCCCTTATGGGTATAAAGACAAATGCCATTTGGATTCCTCTGCACACCTTTCCGATGCCCCTGGGGGTGACCCACAGTCCTCGAGAAGAAGGCAAGCTCTCAGCATCTCCATAATGGAGCCAGTTTTCTTTCCTTTCTGCATAAGTTTCCCTCTTGCAAAGTCTGTGCATCGTCCTGGTATTGGAAGCAGGCGAATTGGAAGGGCAATGTGCAGACAAATGTTTATCTCTATCAGCATTTCTAAAACTCAGCTCCTTCAAACCAGGCTTGCCGTGCTTGGTCCCATGATGCTGCGGGCCAGGCCGGCCTCTGCTCAACTGCAGGAGGTGAGCGGATTCCTGGGGCGATGTGGGTTGAAGTCTCAGGAGGAGCTAGTCCTAGGGTTGGGCAGCGTGCCCAGCTAATGCCTTTTTGTTTTAATTATTTTAGCCTTAAAATATTTTTAATAATCTGTCGGGCACATCCGTACTTATTTTAAGCATTTAGAGTTTAATTTTTTTAGGCGTAACTTTCTTGGTAGGCAGAACAGGTGTCCCAGGGAGGAAGGCGCAGATGGATGAAGCAGAGAGCCTCTAGTCACCCACCAAGCCAGGTTTCCTCCCCGTGGAACTTGCAGAGTCTGACTCCTCGCCCAGTGCTCCAAAGGCGCCCAGCTCTCGTGCGCCGCTTCGTGAGCGGGTCGGGGAAGAAGGCAGTGAGGGGACAGGGTGTGGTCTCTCCGGCTGCGGCGGAGCAGCGCGGGGACCCCGCCCGGGCCGGCTCCGGGCACTGGGCGCGCGGCCCCCTGGGGCGGTGGGGCGAAGAGCGCAGCCCGGACACACCGCCCGGGCTCCCCGCGCGTCGCTGCGCCCCGCCCGCCGGCGCCCGTGCCTCACCCCGCGACGGCGAGCGCGCCCTCGGCTCTGGCCTGCGGCAGCCGAGCCGCCTCCGCCGAGCGGCCCGCGTCGGCGGGGACAGGGCGACCGGCCGGCGAGGCATGGCGGGCCGCGGGGCGCCCGGAGAGAAGCGCTGGCAGCTGGTGCGCTGGTGAGTGGGCGCCGGGGGTCGGGGGCTTGGACGGGCGCAGAAAGGAGCGGGGCCATTGGCCCAAAGTTTCTTTTCGAGCGGAGGCTTCGGGGCCGGGTTTAAGGAGAGGCGCCGCGCTGCCCGTTGGCCACCATCCCGCATCCCCGCGCCCGCTCTTTGGGGCTTTCCAGAGAGAGAGGCGCTGGGACCCGGGACCCGGGACCCAGTCCTTGAGGTCAAGCTTTGGAGGGACTCGGTGCTCCTTCCACAGGCTAATCGGCAGGGCTTTCCTCCTTTCCTCTACCCCACCTCTCTCTTCTATTTTTGCAATGGGGGTCCCCCGCCTACTCCATTCTTTCTGCTGCTTCGGGTCGGGCCAAGGACTTGGGCCTGGAGAAGGCACGGCCACAGCCTCAGCTCCCCTGTTGAAGGAGATGCCCTCGTCCACCTAAACAGGGACCCCAGGGGCTGGGCACTTCGAGGATGGGGGCTTAGAGAAGGGGACCTAAGAGGCGAGGGCAGAGGTGTCACTGTGGGGGCTGGTTGCCCCTACCCCCGCCGCGGCCCCGCCGCTGGGAAATCAGAGCCTGCCGGTGTCAGGTTACGGGACTGCTGGCTGAGAGGTTTCAGACGTTTCACACAGCCCAGTCACCTGGGTTGGGCCCTTGTCGCTGGTGACCGAAGGTTGAGGCTGCATCAGCCGGGGACCTGACCTCTGCTGGGCGGGGCCTAGAATGCCGGACAGCCTGCTCAGCTCACCGCCGCCCTGGGAGGTCTCCGGGAGGCTAAGGAGAAAATCTGGCTGGGACCCTCCCCCCCCCCCCCCATCATCCCACCCACACCAGGGCCAGGGGACATCTCTGAAGTAGCATACCAGACACATGTCACCAGCTACATCTGTAGCCTGAATATAAATAACAACAACAATATTATCATCAATAATAGCAACCTGGGCTTCCTGAGAACTTCTACTGGCTCCACCGTCATCCGTCCAGGCATTGACTCAGCTACTCTTCACGGTGGTACTCAGAGGAAGAAGGTGTTAGCACCCCTGTTTTACAGAAGGGGAAACTGAGGCTCAGAGAAGGAAAGTGGTTAGTCAAGGTCACCCAGCAAGCAAGTGGAAGAGTCAGGGTTTGAACCCAGGTCTTGCATAACTGATCCCCTGTTTTGCTCTATCCCACTCAGCCTGGCCACGCATCCAAGTTCACTGTCAGGAAATCCCAGTGTGTCAGAGCAGGAGGGGTCTCGGGGTTTGCAGCCTGCTCACCCACCCCCCACCCCCATCCTGGGAGGACTCCAAGAATCAAAGTCCAAATATTCAAAAGTATTATTTAGCAGTGGAACCACTCTCCAAGTGAAGCCCCTGATGCACAAATCAGATAAAAGTAGACTTAATCTCTGAAGAGCTGGCAGGGAGCTGGCAGTTACTTAGTGTCCTCTCCCTGAAAGGGAAGCATGACCCCAGGACCCCAGGACCTCCCAGATTAAATGGAGTTTGCTTAGTTTAATTCCTTCCTTCATTTTTCAGAGGAGGACACAGGCAGAGTTTTAAAGGGGCAGAGCTGGGATTTCTGTTCTGACTCTCCCTCCCCTGGCACTGTCTGGCTGGGCAGGATCTTGGGGTGGACCTGTTGATGCATGAATCATAGTTAGTGCCTGTAATTAGGTTTTGGGTCACATTTCACTCCAAGATTAAAGCCTATTGTTTTAAAGGCCCTGAAGATGCGGCCTTTAGGTGATGAGGCAGCCTGGCAGGGAGCACTCTTGGGGGCAAGAGACCCTCTGAACCACATGACATGCTCCCAACAGGGTCAGCCTTGGCCCCTTGTTCCAGGATTTCAGATTGAGTCGGTTTGCTTGACTCAAACTGGATTAAGAGAAAAAGGGAATTTACTGGCTTATAGAACTGAAAACTCCAGGAACTCTCCATGTTTCAGGCACAACTGCATTCAGATGCTCAAATACTGTCACCAGATAATACTCTACTCTTTCTGTCCCGCTGCTTCTCTCTGTTCCACTTTTACTCCTTATGGGGGCAGGGTGGCTCTCAGCTGCAGACAGCCCCCCGTGTTAGTGACCATCATGGAAAGAGAGTTTTCTTTCTCAGTGGTTCCAGCCAAAGTCTCAGAATGTCATCTCATTGGCATGATTTGGGTCACATGGACATCTCTGAGCCAATCACTGTGGCCAAGGGGATGGACTGCTCAGATTGGCCAGGCTGAGTCATATGCCCATCCATGGAGCTGGGCTGGGGTCAGCTCCACCCAGAACCACAGAACTTTTGAGTGGGACAGAGGTGATGAATGGTGAATTACTGGGCAACATAAACAAGTCATGCAAACCTTCAATAAAGTTAAAAGATAACAATATTTCCAAATAGCAGGTTAAACATTAATATGCCAAATGTAAGGAGCATTCTTTTAAGTAAATTGAAAAAAAAAAACCCAAACAACTTCAGACTCAGTGGCTTAAACAACAGGAATTTATTTCCTCACAGTTTTGGAGGCTGAAGGTCCAAGGTCAGGGTGCCAGTGTGGTTGATTTCTGGTGAGAACCTCTTCCTGGCCTGCAGATGCCGCCTTCTTACTGCGTCCCCCACGATGAGGAGGGCGCACACGCTCTCCGATGCCTCTTTTTTATGAGGACACCCATCCTGCTGGATCTGGGAACCAGTGATATGGCGGGGCAGTTGTTAGGGCTTCAACGTATGATTTGGGAGGGAGGCACACAAACATCAGTTCAGAAGGCTTACCAAGAAAAACATGGCAGTGATTCAGGCTCAACCCCTGAAAGTTGATGGATGCTGCTCAGGGTCTCATTTAGGGGAATACCATCTGAACGTGAACCAAGGGAACCGACTTTGGAGCCCAAGTGTGGGACATCAGGACAGAGACAGCAGGTGCAGAACAAGGATTTTCCCCCCACAGCAGTTTAGGGGTTCAGGGGGCTGTGCAGGACTGGTGTTCAACAGTACCGCCTTGTGGTGCAGAGAGACAAAAGCAATAGAGGGTAGTCGCAGTTTTCTCTGGGGTTTTGGAAAATTCAAAGGCAAGATATTAAGCTTTATAATAAAGACTTTGAGGGGGACAGAGCATTCAAGCTATTACTTAGAGAAATAGAGATGACTAGATTTGCGCTCTAAGCTGTTGGTAGGGCATACTACTTTCACAGGAAAGGAATTCATGCACATAGCTGCTAAGCTCCTTGGTATTAAAAGTTTTTCAGCTGTTCAGATTGGCTAACCTTTTAATATATTCATGGTACATAAGAGCATGGGTACACCTAAATAGTCACCGAGTATGGGGCAAAACTGTAGAGGTTCTCTCATGAAATAAAATGCTTCACATGCTTTTTAAAAGTGAAAATCCAGGGCAGAATCTTTGCTTGAGGTCTAAGTATGGTAAATTAGCAGGTTTGAATTTGTGGGAGAATTGGGATCTTTGAAAAACCATATCAATAAACTGTGGAACTGTATGCTTTAAAAAAATAGTGGTTTACAACAACAATGAGATACCACTACGTACCTGTTGCAATGGCCAAATGCTGGAACCCTGATGACACTAGGTGCTGGTGAGGATGTGGAGCAACAGGGGCTCTCTAACATAATTGGTAGGGATGCAAAATGGTACTGTCATTTTGGAAGACAGGTTGGTGGTTTCATACAAAACTAAACATACTCTTAACCATATGACCCCTCAATTATTTATCCAAAGGAGTTGAACACTTGTATCCGCACACAAAACTGGCACATGGACGTTAATAGAATCTTTATTCATAATTGCCCAGACTTGGAAGCAACCAAGGTATCCTTCAGTAGGTGAATGGACAAATAAATGAGTGCATCCAAACAATGGAATATTATTTAGCACTAAAAAGAAATTAGCTATCAAGGCGTAAAAAGACATGGAAGACTTTAGCATGTATAGCTAAGTGGGGAAAAAAATGCCAATCTGGAAAAGTTATGTACTGTATGATTTCAACTATATGACATTCTGGGAAAAGCAAAACTAAGGACTAGAAAGATCAAGGGTTGCCAGGCTTTTGTGTGTGTGTGTGTGGAGGGTGCTGGGGTGAGGGGAGAGATGAATAGACAGACCACAGAGGATTTTTAGGCAATGAAAATACTCAGTTTTAATGATGGACACATTAAAGAAAACAAACAAGCAGCAACTCATGTCCACTTGCCCTTCTAGAATAGCCCTCTTCCTTCAGTCTCTCCTTCTCTAAAATATAAAGTACCAAAAATTAAATTAGAATTTTATTGGGTTCATCAGTTGAAGATATTAAATATGTATGGTTTCAGCATTCTTACGGTACTTGAGGCCTGCACTGAGCCCCGCCCAATTTCTGCTGGTTGGCCTTAGAGGCTGGGAGAGGGAGCTGACAGAGACTAGGAGCCAGGGCTGCGTGAGCAGTTAAACAGTGGTACAGAGCCCTGGCCAGGTCGCTCACTCGGTTAGAGTGTTGTCCCATGCGCCAAGAGCGATGGGGTCAGGGCACATACAAGAAGCAACCAATGAATGCATAGGTAAGTGGAAGAGCAAATTGATGTTTCTCTTTCTCTAACAACGAGAACAATGATAAAAACAGTACAGAGTGCTCTGGCAGGTTTTTTTGTTTGTTTGTTTGTTTTTAATTGGCTGCACAGTATTCCCTTGTAAGGTGGACCATCATTTCTTTTCCTTTAATTTCTATTGATGACCTTCTAGGGCATTTTGAATATTTTGATATTATGAACATTGCTGAAATGAACATCTTTGAACCTGTTCCATGCAAATATGTGCAGAGATAATGGTTGGAGATGGTCTTCAAAGTGAAATTGCAGAGTCAAAGCATGAGCACATGTAAAGATACTGCCAACCCGATGTCCAAGGCAAGTGTCCCGTTTTCTGCTGCCTCCAGTGACTGGTGAGGTGCCCCCTTCCCCACAATTTGCTCACATGGGAATTAACAAACTTAAATCTTGGCCATCTCACCAGTGAAAAATGGTCTCTCATTGTTGTTTTAATTTTCATTTT